GGTTTCCTTCATTAAATTTATTTTTAGGTACATTATTATTTTTGAGGCTGTTGCAAATGGGATTGTTTCCCTGATTTCTTTTTCATTCTGTTCATTGTTGGTATATAAGAAGGATGCTGATTTCTATATGTTAATTTTGTATCCTGCTACATTGCCAAAAGAGTTTATGACTTCTAATACTTTTTGGTAGGGTTTTTAGGGTCTTTTAAGTAAAGGATCATGTCATCTGAAATTGGAGATAGTTTGACTTCTTCTTTCCCTATTCAAATCCCTTTTATTTCTTGTTCTTGTCTTGTTGCTCTGACAAGGAATTCCCAAACTATATTGAATAGGAGTGGGGAAAGCAGCCATTCCTGTCTCATTCATAATTTTAGTGGGAATGATTTCAGTTGTTCTCCATTTCGTACAATGTTGGCTATAGGTTTCTCATATATAGTCTTTATTATGTTGAGGAATATTCCTTCTATTCCTAGTGTCTTCAGAGCTTTTATCAGGAAAGGGTGTTGAATTTTGTCAAAGACTTTTTTCTGTATCTATTGAGAGGATCATGTGGCTTTTGTCCTTATTTCTGTTTAAATGCTGTATTATGTTTATAGATTTATGCATGTTGAATTATCTTTGCATTCCTGGAATGCAACTGACTTGGTCATGTTGTATGATCTTGTTGATGTATTGTTGAATTCTGTTTTCCAGTGTCTTGTTAAGAATCTTTGTATCTATATTTATTAAAGATATTAGTTTGTAAATCTCTTTTTTGTTGCATCTTTCTTGGGTTTTGGAATGAGTGTAATGCTGGCTTTAAAATGAGTTCAGTAGTGTTCCTTCCCTTTATTTTTCCTGGAAAAGACTGAGTAGTGTTGGTATTAGTTCTTCTTTAAAGGTTTGGTAAAAATCCATCAGGTCTGGGGCTCTTATTTGTGGGGAGGCTCGTTATTGCTGCTTCAATTTCATTGCTTGTTATAGGTCAGTTTAGGTGGTCAGTATCTTCTTGGTTTAATTTTGGTTGGTTATATGCCTCTAGAAATACATACATTTTGTCTAGATTTTCAAGTCTAATTGAATGTAAGTTTTCAAAGTATTCTCTAGTTATCCTCTGGATTTTGATGCTATTTGTGGTTATGTCCCCTTTTGCATCTTTGATTTTATTAATTTGGGTCTTCGCCCTCCTCCATTTCCATTTTGTCTTGTTGCCTAGGGGTTTGTCAATCTTATTAATCTTCTTAAAGAACCAACTTTTTGTTTCATTGATTCTTAGTATGGTTTTGTTGTTGTTGTTGTTGCTGTTTTTGTTCTTTTGGTCTTGATCTCATTGATCTTGGCCCTGATCTTTATTATTTCATTCTTTCTGCAAGTTTTGGGTTTGGTTTGTTCTTTTTTTTCTAACTTAAGGTTGTTTATTTGGGAAGCCTCTGTTTTTTAATGAAGACACTTATAGGTATAAAGTTTCCCCTTAGCATGGCCTTTGTTGTGTTCCACAAATTGTGATAAGTTGTATTTTCACTTTCATTAGATTCCAGGAACTTTTTGATTTCTTTCCTTATTTCTTTGGTCACCTACCAGTCATTCAGCAGTATGTTGTTCAGTCTCCATATGTTTGAGTATTTTCTGTTGTTTCTTTTCTTGTCGAGGTCTAGTTTTATTTCATTGTAATCTGATATGATAGAGGGATTATTTCAATTTTCTTAAAGTTGTTGAGATTTGCTTTGTGTCCTAAAATATGATCTACTTTGGAAAAAGTTCCATGAGCTGCAGAAATGAATGTATAACATGGTTGTTGAGCGAAATACTCTGTAGATGTCTATTATGTACATTTGGGCTAACGTGTGTAGAAGTTCTAAAGTTTCTTTGTTGATCTTTTGCCTGGATACCAATCTATTGATGACAGTGGGGTATTCAGGTTATTCAGGTCTCCCACTATCACTCAGGTAGGGTCTATCTGTTCTCTTAGGTCCAGTAGTGTTTTGTAATGTAATTGGGTGCCCCTATCTTTGGTGCATATATGTTAAGAATTGATATTTCTTCTTGATGAATCATTCCTTTAGTTAATATGAAGTAACCTTCATATTTCTTCTGACTGATTTTAGTCTGAAATCTACTTTGTCAGATATAAGTATCTCTACTCCTGCCTGTTTCTGGGGTCCATTTGCTTGGAAAAACTTTTTCCACCTTTTAACTCTAAGCCAGCATTTATTTTTTTCAGTTAGATGAGTCTCTTGTAAACAACATACAGTTGGGTCTTGTTTTTTAACCCAGTTTGCTATTCTATGTCTTTTGACTGGGGCTTTGAGGCTATTGATGTTCAGTGTTAGTATTGAGAGGTGCATGGTGTTTCCAGTCATTTTTATTCTCCTGTTGTTTACTTTTTGTCCATTCCTTGTTTCCTGGTCTGCTTGATCAAAAGGGTTTATTCTTTATTTCATTATCCTGTCTCATTCTAATTTCTCCTTCTGTGTTGAAGAGTCTTTTAAGTATTTTCTGCAGTGCTGGCTTGGTAGTCATGAATTCCTCTAGTTTTTATTTGTGGTGGAGGTTTTAATATCTCCTTTAATTAAGAAGGATAATTTTGATGGATAGACTAGACTAGGTTGACAGTTGTTTTCATTCAGGACCTAAATATTTCTTTCCATGATTTTCTTGTGTTTAGAGTTTGTATTGAAAAATCTGCTGTTATTCTAATGGATTTGCCTTTATATGTGACTTTCTGTCCTCTTTTGCAGCTTTCAGAATTCTTTCTTTGTTCTATATGCTGAATGTTTTGATTATTATGTGTCTAGGGGTATTTCTTTTTTTGGTCCTGACGGTTTGGTGTTCTATAAGCTTCCTGCACCTGGATGACCCTCTCTTTCTGAAGGTTGGGGAAGTTTTCAGCTATTATTTTATTGAATAGGTTATCTATGCCTTTAGTTTTTATCTCTTTCCCTTCTTCTATTCCCGTGATTTGTAGGTTTGGCCTTTTCATGATGTCCCAGATGTCTTGCATCTTCCATTCATAGTTCTTAAGATTTTTTCCTGTTCTTTTACTATCTGATCTAATTCTTCTACTTTGTCTTCTGTTCCTGATACTCTATTTTCAAATTGCTCCACTCGGTTCAACAAGCTTCCAACTGAGATTTTTATTTTAGATATTGAGCTGTTCATTTTAAATTAATTCTTTTGCAGAATTTCTATGTCTTTATTGAGTTCCTCTTTCAAATCCTGCACAGTCTTCTTAATTTCATTCATCTGTTTGCTTGAATTCTTTTCAAAATCTTAGTTGTTTATTCATATCCTCTTTGAGATCAGACACTACCTTTTGTGTCTCTTCTTTGAGCCTATTAATTAATAATGAGCTAATTAATTAATAATGGAAGTGAAAGAAGAGATAAGGAAGAAGGAGAATGGGAAGGGGGGTAAAGAGGTGTGAGGTGTGGGGGTTATCAGGTTAACAAAACCCTAATGTGTGTAGAGGAGATGTTCAGTCATTGTGGAGGTAGGTACTATTGCCTGGGATTGCAGAGGGCTAGAAAGATGGGAGTGATATAAGAAGATGGTAGAATAAACCACTCATTGACTGATTTGTAAGGAAGAGATAGGGAAAGTGGATGAAGGGAGGAGGAGTAGAAAAAGGAAAAGAAGAAAAAAATGGCAGAAAAGAAGTATAGACAAATTAAAACTTTAAAAAGAAAAAAATAATTTTTTAGAGTCTAAATTTCTTCCTTGTTTTGGAGAAGAGTAGATTTCCTCTGTGTTCAATGAGTACACTGGATGCTCTCTTCCAATTTCTGGTCCTCAGGTTTTAGTATGGAGTTCTTACATATCCCCTCTAGGTGCTGTCCTTCCCCACCATACAAGTCTACATCCCATTACACAGGGGCTTTCTCTGGGTCCTTGCCTCTCATTTGGATAGGTCTGCTGGGCTGAATGGTAATCAGTGGTTCCCCTTCCTACCAGCCAGGGTTAGCGGGGCTCTACTCAGGCTATTTAGCCACAGGCTCATCTTGGGTGGGGGAGGGCAGTCAGATTCAGCTTCCTTGGCTTGAGGCTTCTCTCAGGTAGTTGCACAAATTACTTAGTAGAGAGCAATGGTCAACTTCTCCCACCAGACAATTCTAGGAGCTTTAGCTCAGGCTGTTTAGCTAAAGCCCTTCCTTGGGAGGGAAGTTTCAGCTTCTCAGAGGTGGTCAAATGAATTATTTTCTAGGTTCGACTCAGGCTTGACTAGCCTGCACTCACACTGTCTTTCTTTGTATAGAAAAGTATAGGCTGAGCCACTACCCATAGTGTGCCTCACACTCAAGTCAGGGTAGGAGATTAAACTCTGTTTATTAAACCAAAACCTTTCTCCTAAAGGGGTACAGTCATATACCCAGAAGCCTAGATGACTATGCGATATCCCCCAGGACTGAAAGCAGCAATCTCACCTGAATGGATTGTAGGCACTGCATTCTGGTATTGGAGGGAAATAGGTTCATGGGTGGTGAGCCTTGGCCATAGGTGGCAGGGGCAAATGTTCCCTTTCTTTGCAGTCTGGAAACTCCCAGGTACTTGCAGGACTTGTAGCCATGTGTGTTGATTTTTAGTATTTCAGATGGCTTTTCATGGACAGGAGGCTAATCTGGTGCAGGAAAAAAAAATTCTAAAAACCCACACCTGCCAGCATGTTGCTGGCAGTACCTACACACCTGGGGCAAATTTGTGCTTTAAAAGACTTATATAGCAGTTGTTCATTGTAGATATTGGTGACCTCTTATTTAGCAAACTAGTCAGACCATGTAACCTAGCTGACATGAATCTAAGGTTATGTTTCAGGCTAGAGGGAGCTTGGAGTTCTGGTGTCTATCAGCAAACTGTCATCTTGGTCTCTCCTATATAAACATTTAATTGGGAAATAATTTTCAAAACTACATCCTTGGTAAAACCTATAAGAAATCAGATGTGATTAGCTTAATTCTAAACAACAAATCTTTTATCTTATGATGAGTATATCTTTGTAATTCTACTTTCCCTTCACTTGTCATCAGCACTGAAATCAGTGGATCTGCATGAATCTGGAAAATTGCAACACCTCTTTGCTGTGGACTTGGATAAGAATATCAACATCCAGTGGCAAAAACATGGCTACCCCTTGATTACAGCAATACACTATTCTGTCAAAGAGATGGAGAACATGGCCAGGGTAATTGACAGAACTGGAGGGGAGAAGAATACTGTCATTGTTATTTCTCTGGGCCAGCATTTCAAACCCTTTCCCATTGATGTTTTTATCCGAAGGGCCCTCAGTGTCTACAAAGCTGTTCAGCGTCTTCTTCTGAGAAGCCCAGACACTATGGTTATCATCAAGACAGAAAACATCAGGGAGATGCACAATGATGCAGAAAGATTCAGTGACTTTCATGGTTACATTCAGTATCTCATCATCAAGGACATTTTCCAGGATCTCCACGTGGGTGTCATTGATGCCTGGGATATAACAATTGCATATGGCACAAATGATGTACACCCACCTCAACATGTAGTTGGAAATCAAATTAATGTATTCTTAAACTATATTTGCTAGGTAACACATATCTCTGAAAATCATTCATTTGAGTAAATAGATCTACTGAGTGTCTCCAAACATGACAGGTGCCTTATTTGACTCTGAACTCCTAGCTAGCTTTAAAAATCATCTGCACAGTGCCTGATATGGATTCGTAAGTTCAGCCAAACAGTGTATTTCTAAACTGGGCTTCCCCTTAAATCTGAAGCTCGGAGGAGACCTAGCACGTTCATACTCTTCCAGATCAGAGCCATGCTGCTCTTCACAGTTGGGAAGTTAAGGCCCCTGTGGGTAAAGGTCTTCTCTCTAATACATGCAGATTCAGGGCAATAAAGTAATTGTAAAATAAATATTTGGAGAAAGCAGTCTCATTTCCTTTTTCTACCACTAATGACAGACTCAAGATGATTTCCAAACAAGAAGAGAAATGCTATGAGGTGAATCTCCCACAGTCATGGAGGTGCCCCAGGAGCCTAAAAGCATTTGAGTCTTCTCTTCCTACTGTGCTCCAATACGATTCTCCAGTATTCATCACACATGAATATACAATGATTGACTTAAAGACATAGTGTGCTACAATTCATGCAGTTGGGCTAGAGCTCTTTCCTTAGTAATTTTAAGACACTGGAAAAATCAGGTCAGCTCCCCGGACTTCAGTTTCCCATATGAGGCATTCATCTAACATCTATCATCTTGAACTTTGCTGTGTATTCATGGGTTTCCCCAGGTCATCCTTTGGACACTATTTTATAGCAAAAATTCAGGAGAGGTGCATGGTGGGCAGAGTTCAGGTTCCACTCTGACCCCTTAGCCAGGCTGTCAGCTACTCTAACATGATGTGTATTGCACTATGGGTAGCATTTTTGTTTAAAAAGAAGGTCCCTAAGTTATCACAAGTTTGAAAACCATTTTGGAGGTAACCTAAAACGCTCCTATAATCTACACTTGTAGGTTAACATTTTAATCACTCTCATTTGCATTCTAATGGACCTCCCCCAAACCTGACCAAAGAGGAGTGGTTATGAAAATATCAGTTGAATGGGGCAATGCAATTATCATAAAAAAATTTGGCACGATATTCTTCCTGAATGTGTACTCATCACTGTGTCTCACATACCACAGAGTCCTCACCTGCACTTGACACATCTGGGAGAAAACAATTACAATAAGAATAAGACATCTTAAATCTCTTTATCCAGGTTCTTTTGTATAGGGAATAATACAGCTCTTATTTATTGTTAGTGAACCACAGTTCATAGTTTAGAACCTAGTGTACGCTCAGATAGTCAAAAATATTTATTAAATCCAAAGAATTGTTCTAGTCTAATGCAGGGAAGACAGTGGGAAGGAATAGACTATTGGACAAGGTGAAAGAGACTTACAGGTACAACTACGAAAAGTTACTTTTTGAGAAAAAGGTATATATGAAAAGGAAAAGCAAATTCTCCTTCCTCAACATAAAACCCATGTATAAAAGCTTTGTTTTTTAGGTTGAATATATTCATAAAAATTCAGGCCATCTCTAAAATATTGAGGAAAAACATAAATGTCTACACTTTATTCAAAACTGTCACAGGTTAAATGACACAGATGATTGCATGAAAATAAATACTCATACCCATCATAAGTAAAAATGACTGAGAACAGGGACATTTCATACAATGACACATTTCTTGTCATTACAGCTTTGGTCTGCTCTGAACATATCCATTTCCTTCCATCATATGAACACTTCCACAAAACCTTCATGCCCTGAAACACCAAGGACACCGGTCAATTTACCAACAGAGTCTCAGCTGAGAGCCAGAGAGATCCTGGAGAAACTAAACAAGCTGATCCCACCCAGACCCTTTACCCATGTGAACACCACCACAAGCGCCAAACACAGCACAGCCACCATCCTCAACCCTCAAAATACATACTGAGAGGATCAGCTGAACATCCTGTTGAAGGTGAGGGACCACCTGGGACACAGGAAGGAATATGGCAGGGACTTCCTGAGGGCCAGGATGTCCTCCCCAGCCCTGAACGCAGGTGCTTCAGGAAAGGTGACAGACTTCAACAATGGCACCTACCTTGTCAGCTTCACTCTGTTCTAGGAGGGCCAGGTCTCACTTTCTGTCCTACTCATCCACCCCAGTGAAGGGGTGTCTGCTCTTTGGAGGGCAAAGAACCAAGGCTATGACAAGGTGATCTTCACAGGCCAGTTTCCAGTGGTGCCTCCCAGGTCTACAGTGAGTGTGGCCTGGCTTTAAATTCAACTGCTGAGCTGTGCCAGTATCTTGATGGTCAAGATCAAGAAGCTTTCTACTGCGTGAGACCTCCACATGTTCCCTGTGCTGCACTCACCCACATGCAGTCCAAGAACAAGAAAGTTTCTTATCTTACCAAACAGGAAAGGAGCCCCTTTGAAAGGTAAGTGATTATTTCTGGATTCTATATTGGAAAATATAATGCTTTTGCCTATATGTCATCTCAAATGAAAATTCTTAAGAAGACCTATTTGGGAAAGGATCTAAAAATTTATTTGGGATCAGTTCTCACTCCCCAGTAGTACCCAAAGTTTTGGATATTTAATCCTCATTAATGAACTAAAAAGTATAGGCAGATTAAAAGTTAAATATGTGTGTGTGCTCTACTAAGTTTTATATGCATCTCAATAAATTGACTTGCATAACTTCTGGTTATCGATACCCTATGAAATGAGAGGCAAAGTAATGGAAATTCACTAAGTGGCCTTAAATCATAGACAGGGTAATAGGCTTATCACTAGGAAATAACAGAAGCAATGCATAATTGTGCCTTTGAGTCCTTCATGGTTTGCAGCCACCTACAGATTAATTTCTACATTTTTCTCTTTAAGGTCTAATGTGGGTGTGGAGATTATGGCAAAATTCAAAATGATTAGTGTTTCCAAATGCAGCGGTGAGTGCTTCTGCTTATCGGGTGATATTTACTATTAACTAATTAAAGTATCTCCTCTTCCTGCTGGACTTCTCTCTGACTCAGTCCTGTCAGCTTCCTGCTCATCTATTTCACTGAGGCTGGCCAAGGCACCAGGTCCATCCGTGAGTGAATGTTTGAATCACTAGGATATCACTTACCTGCCTTAGGAACATATCTCTCATCACTAATCTACTTATCGTGTAATAGGTTACCTGCTCATCATGCGCAATAATATTGAAACATTAAAACTCATTCCCAATCTTTACACAGTACTTCATCTCTCCTCCCACCCTCTCCACACCACGCTCATCACCATCTTCCACATCACCAGTTCCCAAATAATCACGGTCTAGATGTTTCCATCTTGTCATCTAGGAGTCAGCTCACTGCTATAATTCCCTCTTTATCTTTATCACTTTTCCAACCATTTGTTTTCAAAATAGAACCTCCACATTTATATTTACTGATTTCTCATTAATTACTTGATTCTAAATGATCTTTAAAAAACATCTGATAGTGATAAAAATAATGTTGATAAAGAGGCATATCTATATGTGGTGGACTATCAGTGGGAATCCATGGGAGGAGGAGATAAAAAGGAAGGATACTGGTGCGGTAAATTCGATCGAAGAACACTGCCTTCCAGGAAAACTCATATCTGCTGGGAGATTCCACTATCCACCAGTGGATGGGATTCTTCAAAGCCAGTATCAAAAGTATGCCTGAGTAGAAGCCATTATTCACATCCTTCCTATGAACTTCATTCTCATTTCAGGGGAGAAAGAATGATGGAATGCCTCTTCTTCATTATCTTTTTAAATCACAATGCATCAATAATTTTCATAGACATTATCTCCACTTTTAAAAACACATTATTTTGTAGAAGGGAGGCAATGGAGAAAGTGTATATTACTGTATATATTACTACCTATCCCTGGTGAATTGACACATCAAATTCATGAAGCATGCTTAGGTTATTGATGGAGACAAAGATTATTCAAAATGTTAAACTGTCCCCTTCTGCATTGGCACAATGACTTAGGGGATGAATACTAGGTGTAGCTATCCTGGGTTCAAACCTGTCATCACATAGTATCTGGTGACCTTGAAAAAGTTCCATTATCATTTTATGCCTCAGTGTCCTCATGGTCAACTGAAAGTGAAAGTAATACCTACTTGGTAAAATGAGGTAATATCTATGAGGCATTTAGAATATTATCTGTCACAAACTAAGTTCTCTTTGGTAAAAGCATGTTATCTATTTTCTCTGCATTGTTTCCTTCATCTATCAACCAGAAATAATCATAGTACCTGGTGTTTTTTGAAAATGAAATGAGGTAATTGATAGAGAGTATTTTATAAATTGCAAGGCACAATGACAGATACAAAGTGCCCCCAAAATCAACAGCAATTACAATTACTACCATTTGTCAATGTCACAGTTGGGGTTAAAATGAGAACTCTAATTAGTGACTAAATGTACTAAATCAAGCACCTACCATATATCCACTAGCAGATCTTAGCAATCCCACCCAGAAAACCATCACTACTTGCCCCTCTATGTCCTTGAGCCATGGCTCATCATTGACAACAATAAAGGTGGTGTGACTCTATCCTGGACTTCTTAATAAAGTCCACTTTGGTGAACTCAAATTTAGAAACAAAGTTTATCCTCAATAAAAAGGGCAATCTGATAGGGTCTGTGCTCCAAAGAATTCCCAGCTGAAGGAGAGTGTTAATTTTTGGCCTCTAGTAAATTTGAAATTGTTTTGGAAAAGACAACTGAGTTAGTTGGAAGCACATGAAGAAAACAGTACTGCCATTTTCCTACAACCATCCCATGGCATCGATATTTTACATTCTCACTGGTTCAGACTTCAAACATATCCCTTTACTTATAAGACAATACATGGTACAAAACACTAATTATCATTGACTGTGTGTTTTCTTCAGCAGTTATAGCTATGATACAGCTGGCCTTCATATTCTGATAGGAGTTAATTAGCATGAGAAAAATGGAAGGACTTTATCCAATAGTGTGCATGCTATGTTTGTTTTCAGAAGTGCCAAGA